ATATATATATATATATATATATATATATATATATATATATATATATATATATATAAACTGCTTGCGGACAAGCATGGTGCTATGTTGTACACAGAATCAGAGGATACAGTCTGATGAGCTGTCCGGTAATCAAGTGGATGGTGTGTGAGCTTTTTATCTGCGAAGGCCTGTACTGGATCAATACCGTTGCATTGTCAATGAGACTCAACCAAGGCGAAATGATTACTCAGTGCTTTTTGTTCTCTATGCGACTAAATCTGTCATGGAATGATAAGAGATCTATCCGGATGACTTATGGCTTTTCAGTTGTTTGTGACACACAGACGTCATATGGTGTACTACTATATGCATTTCATTTGAGTTATGGAGGATTTGATTGAATTTCACTCGTAAAACTCGTCGTGTACAGAGCAAGTAAAGCGTGAACTGAAAAGCTGGGAAGCAATAGATAGCATTTTCAACCTGGATTCGCACTGCTGATGAGACCCAACCAGGTTGAAACAGCTATCCAGTGCTTCCTAGATTTTCATTTTATGCTTCATTTGCTATATACAAGACGAATTCCCCCTTTAAAACTGAATGAAATCCTCCATTATTCACATGACACAAGTGGTCAGATTGTGAATGCTTCCAACTGAGCGGTGGCGGCTGGTGCTGACATGAGCGAGGTTTGTGGCCTACAACAAGCTGGTAAAGATGGGTTGTGCTATATCGTAAATAGAAAATGAAAAACAGTCTGGTCAGCTGCCCGGTGACCGAGTAGTTAGGGTACTTGCGTTCTGCCTGTGAGGTCCCGGGTTCGATCCTCATTTGGATCGATGAATTCGCACTGGTGGTTTCAACCCAATCAGATCGAAACAGCTGCGAAGGGCTTCCGAGCTTTTCAGTTCAAGCTTCGTTTCGCCTGTATAAATATTCAATTAAAAACCAGTCCACTTAATCTATGAGTTATTGAGAAAAAGCTTTTTTTATCCGCACAATCTAACCTAGTGGTCATTTTGGGTTTTCCCAATCCTAATCCCGGGGATTAGCTCACCGGTTTCCATGACCGCACAACAAACCCTCGTCGCCTTGGGTTTTTTGTTTGTCTCGTGTTCAGCACAAAGGAGTGTAATAAATGACCCAATATTGGTCAATGAAAATATTACCCTATGACGATGATCTTCAGTTAATACACAGCATTACACGAGTGGGGAAACGGGTCGAACAATGCTGATGTTGGGCGCAGAGGTTTAGGCAGTCAGGGTCGTCCAGTGGAGCAAGTGGTCGAATTCCATGGATTACGCTGGTTGGGATGTATTATGCACATCACTAGATAAGTTGTCACGGTGTGCGATATTTGCTGAGGTAGGTAACGTTTGGAAAAAAGGTCAAGGGCGGTCAAACTAAGACCTGACATGAAGGTATTAAAACCCCAGAAAGGACATTTGGTCATATAGTTCTCGTTAGGCTCCCTAGATCGGGATCCCGAGATCAGGGTAACCGGTGGTTCGAGACACTGATTGATATAACTGATTATCATAAATAATGGCGTTCATGCATCTCCTCAACTTTTTGCAACTTTTTAGTCCACTGAAATTTTCCATTTTCTCTTGGTCTCTACGTTTAACCTTCCTATTTTTCTCCTAATACTTCATCCAAATGGGCACTAAAAAAACAACCGAAAACTGCACACAAAGTGCATTGATAATGGTTGTACGAACGGAACTGGACTGAACTCAGATGGTCTTCGTTATTTCACTGTTCAGTTCAGTTTGGAGAGTTAAGGTTGGCCAAGCGTAGACCTGGCATCAGGGTATAACAATCCAAATCATGAAACGTGGTCATCTAGGTCACTTTTGGCCGCCTGATTGGGTATCTCGAGATCGTTATGACCGGTAGGTTGAGACAATTAGTGATATATCTGAGTATTGCAAACAGTTCCGTTTTTGTATCTACTCATTATCCTTGCAACCTTGGTCTATGGGATTTCTCTATCTTCCCTTTTGATTCACCCCACTATTCCATGCTTCCTCCTTCTCCATTATTTAAATGGGCAGTCTGAGGATGGCAATCAAAACCCGCGCACGAAGATGCATTTTTGACGATTGTAAAAGCGAAAACTGAAACTGAAGAGTTATTTACGTTAATTCTAATTTACTCACTCTCTCTCTCTGGCTGTGCATCATAAGATAATGTTCTATGCAATTACAGTCCCAAAGCCACTACATACCCTTCAAGACTGCAACCCGATTCGCAAGCTCAACCGTCCAGGCTCATCAGTAAGTGGCCATCATCGAAAACAAGCACAAAAACACTAAACAGATGATAATCGGGCAAATAATCATCAACAATGCACTACAAACGAAGCTCGCCCGTCATTTCATGAAATCGATGGTCTAATAGCTAACCACGTTGAAGAAAGGTTGAAGGTATTCGCTATCAGTACTAATCAACTCTATAATCGTGC